GCCGATCTACATGTCAGTGTTTTTGTCCTTTAAGAGACAATACCAACCGCTGACCCGGTGGATTGGAACCCTGCCTTTAGCCTATCCGGTATTGGACCCCTGGCCGCATAGCATGTTGTCGGTTATGGATCCCCAGCGAAGGGGTCGTGTTCGGTCGCTGGAGGCGGGGGTCATCTCTATGTACCTCTCAGAAGACAGAAATATTCTTGGTTGTCGGGACATTTTCACTTTTTTTCGGACTTCCCTGTTTCGAGTATGCTATTTCTCTCTTCCCCCCCCCTTCTGCCCTCGCAGCTCGACGGCAGTTTTGCGACAGTTTTTCGGGGGGAAGTGATGAATTTTTTGGAGAAAACTACGGTAAAGTGGCAGGAAGTTGGGAAAATTCAGAAACATGGTAAGTAGGAACGAAGATTGACCCTCCTTCCCAATCTTGCTCACTCTTACGGGGATCGTGTTTCACAAAAATATCCCCAACGACAGGACCTGCCCTGTCTGGACAACGCATGGTGTGAGTGGCACCAGATGCCGCTAAATAGGGACGTTATACTTATGTGGAAACGTAGGTATTGTAGGAGAACTAGAAGGATGGAGTCACCACCGGTTTCATGCCGACAAGCGGTTTCTATCTCGTGCACAAGTCCAATTTTCGAGCTCAAGCTCGTCCTCCATGGAAAATCAATAGTCAAAAAGAGGCAGTGGTCTCGCGAGATTGAGGGCATTATTCAACATGACTAAAACCGTTACATTTTGCTGTGGTGGAAGAAACCGTGCTTTGAACGGTTAACGGACCTGCCATCCAAGTTGTTCCTAATTACAGAATCCGGTTGCGCACACATGGTCCCAACCTGGCTTGATCAAGCGGAAGTTCTGCTGTGTGTGCCGTAAACGAACGGATGAGTCATTGTCACTGGAATGTGAAGGTATGTTTGACTGATTCTTGGTACGATTTGTTTACTTAAATTTTCATTAATTAATTAACTAGAGTTGTTTGTTTACTGGAATTACTTAATTGCATATGGAATTCCGCGACTTCATCTGCCAATCAGCTCAAATATGACACCAAAGCTGGAGCCTTGCTCTATTTGGCAGTGTCCAGGGTGGCGAAAAATTACGTGCGCCATAAAAAGCGCTACAGCTCGACTTTTTGCTCATGCGTTTCTGAAAGAATTATTTTTATGAAAGTATGAGCCAGGGTATTTCACAGCTATAGAGAGTTTTGGGGTTACTGCCATCAGTTTTGGTATGGGCCTCAACTCGTTCCTTCATGTTTTCAATACTGCGGCGAAGGTAGTCAGCCTCTGAGT